CAACGATAGTAACAGTGCCTTACGCGTTCCTGCTTTTACTGACCTAAAGTTTTCACACGGATTAGGCGTGCCTCAGCAATCGCCCATGTTTTCGTTTGTTATAAACGATTCCTTTGCTTTGGCATTGCCAGTCAACATTCAACTTAAACGGATTTATAAAGCGGGTCAGACGTGACAATTATTTGCCATCTGTTTCAACCCCTTTCGATCGAGTTCGCCAGTTGAATTTCGTTCTACGAGGATCACCCTTTACGACGCACACACACACACATGCACTGATTTTCCGAATCTCTTTCATACTGCAAAGTGCCGCAGTCGTGATGCGATATGAAATCCCAACGGGCAGGCCGAAACCAGAAGAGTACAGTGCTGTTGGTTTGAAGTTGGCCAAGGGGGCTTCCTGTTCCACCGGATATACCCGATTGACCACCTGTGAAAGAGTGACCAAATGGTTCTTTTCGTTCCTCGCTGATCTATATAGGATTGAGGGTAGAAGGTTTTTCCCAACTGAATGTTCGCCACTCATCTATCAAGTATTACTGCTATACGAATGTCGGTACTAGTTCGGACACGTGGTGGTGATTGGGAGTTAGTAACTGAAGGAGCAGTGGAAGGGGTATGAGCAGACACCGTTTTTCCGTCTACCGAGGTTTACGTGAATGATTTCGTTGAGTGGAGTGGGGTGGGTGAAAACGAGAAGAATATTTAAACAGCCACTGTTGTAGTTATTGACGCTGTTCTGATGACTATGGAGTCTGGAAATGGTTGACGAGCTCGTATTATTTTCCTAATACATTTACAACTAATTTATCATTGACTAGGTACTTCAAATTGTTCCTCTCTGTGTATGATTTCTTTTTTTTCCAGAAGACATGAAAACCAATCGCAAGAAGGGAAATCTCTTTGTGATCAAGCCACTATAATTTTCCCGAATTCTACAGAGATTAACATTGATATAAGCATCATTTGAGTATATCCTCCTTCACTGGGTTCACATTCTCCTGTCTTGAAATCCCCTCTCATCAAGTGTTTGTTCAATCACTTCTAATTGTCCATTTTCCTTTTCCATTCACTCACTTTGTGATGTGAGTTGTTTGACCACTGACATGATTGAGGTGATTGGAGTCAAACACACACACACTGCTGTGGTTATGCCCTGGGGTCAGATTAATTCATTCCAATGGTCTAGGCCTGAAACAGAATGTGGATTCCATGAGAAAGTCGAGCTGTTCTCATCATCTGCATTGCCTGATAGTGTGACTCGGGTGGGGTCTCTCTATTTGCTTCTGGCACTTTTCCTCTTCACTTAAGCTAAGCTCGCCAGTGAATTACCTTGAACTGAACGGCACTGTGTTTAGTCCATTCTAATCAGCGAGAAAGCTCGTTTTGGGGCACGCAGTGTTGTATCGCCTTACTGTCCGGTACAGCAACAGTCCTGGTAAAAACGCTGACCAAAGAATAATTGTAAAAGGAAGTGTTGGTGCCGAATCTGTTTTGATAAAATATTAATTTTAGAAAGTTAAATAAGTAAGCTGTGTGATCGGTTCACATAGCCATTAAATTGTGAGTAAATGTCTAAACGATGATGCCAATAATTGGAAGGTTTTCTTCAACTCCCTGGCTTTCATGCAGTGATGACAAAATCACTCAGATCTCCCCAAACTGCCCGAAAATCAAAACAAACTCTCCCCTGTCCTGGATACTGGAAGATCTTCAAGCGGTCAAGGTCACTATTACATCAACTGTGAGGTTTCCAGTGCGAATTTTACTATGGATGCCGGGAGTTTTCCCGTATCTGTGTCCCCGGACAGTAACTCACTTACTGCATTCGAAATTAAATGTATATACGGCGAGGGATACAAACCGTGCTGCATTTTTCTTTCTTTATCATTATTCGCTTCAAACGTGACTAGTGTATAAAATATGCACACTCGTACGAGCTTACATACCACCATTGTGTTCCCCATTATCAGCTGCTGACCTAAACAGGCTATCATTTTTGTGGGACAGTTTTCGTTTCGAAGGGCTCCAGGCCAGTCCTAATGCTTGGACAAAAAATGTCGTCACAAATGCTGACGAGATTACTTGCAATTTGCGAATGCGAGTAATTTTTTGAAATTCATTTTTCTGCTTTCTCCTTCGCAACCTGGATTGCTCATGCATACAAATGTATTACTCGATACGGTGGCTGAATAAGAGATATAACTAGAGCGTTCAGAAAATGTGCATTGCAGACACG